GCTGCAGCATTCTGAGTCTGGGGTAGTGTCAAAAACAACATGATCATTATAAGGTAAAGAGATTAAATTCCTAATTTCTGTTTAGAGCTAGTTTTATATTTATTCATCATTTGTATACATAGTAAAGTTGAGATTTTGATATTTATCATTTGAGCAACAGAATTGTATGTCTTAATTATAGTTTCATACAGGATAAAACAGCTGTTTTAAAGGTTTTTATTAAGTGGATTCTACGAAAAGAATGTTGGAAATTTAGACCCCACTGCAATCATAAAAGTGAAAAATAAGACAAAAGTAAAAGCATATTATATTTTTTCAACTTTATCAATTCTTCAAAGATACAGAAATTGTAAAATAAAGAACCAACTACAAATGACTGTAAAAGATGAACTTTGACTCAAGAAATTGCAGCCCTTTTACATAAAGTATTACAAGTACTAATGAATAAGGTAGAAGATAGATACTCTGGAATGTAAATTGGTTACTGACAGGGGCGGATCTATGAGTCTTGGTTAGTGAATCCACTACTTTTTGTTTGGATATATTAATAAATAATATATCGTCAAGCTTTGAAAAAAGAATGATCTATATCATCCCATTAAAGAATTGACTTATTTATATCCTTTCCTTTTGAGAAAAGGTTCATGTATCAAATGAGGAGTTATAACAATTAGATAATGAGGAAAACATATGCCATTTGATATGCATGTTATTGTTATAGGGGAATGGTCTGAAGAATACTTCAATTTTGATTGAAATTGTTGTTATGATATCAAATTTTATAGAAAATCTTTTACGCCACACTTTCTAAAAGTGTATCTTAAAGGTATATATGTGTCTATATGGACACATTACTATTTAAAATGGTGCAATATTTATGATGTCCACGTGGATACAAATATACTTTTAAAATACACTGTTAAATAGCAGCTCCATTAAAGTTTAGTATCGTTATAACAATTTCAATCAAAGTTCAAATATATTTGAGTCCATTTTCCCTTTAATATCTAATTGTTCTTTCTCTAAATGGTTTATTTTTTCTCATTTCAAATTTAATTATATCAGAAATTCTATGTTGATAGGATAACAGAAGTCATTATATCAAACACAAAACTATCATTATATACTTTCCCTTATTGTTCTTTTATGATCTTCTTACTTCAAGTTACCATTTTACATGTTTAAAGTAACTGAAAACTTGCTTTAAAATAACTAAAAAGTGAATGGAGGTTGACACACTATCCTATTCCTTCAGAATTTTTTAAATTCTAAATTAATTAAAGTTCTCAATTATTACATTTTATAATAGAAAATATTTTCATATATATAAATCTGAAAATATCAGACAAATTAAATTTGATTTACCTATAAGCTTTTATTTGAATGTGTATTTAAGTAAAAAAAATAAAATTAAACAAAAAAAAATGTGTTATAAACCACCTACAACCCATTTCTCCACTTATTTTCTCCATACCATCACATTTCATATTTTTTCACACGTACGAAGCTTTTTAAAATTACTATTTGTGATGAATATCACAATATTAGAAAAAGGGAGTTGATGCGTGTATATATATACTAGAGGGGAATGGCACGAGCCCAATATTTTACTGTTTAATGCCAACACACAACATGGGCCCAATATTTTACTTTATAATGCCCACAGACAAATGCAAAAGTTCAACGACACCTATGAACATTTATTACTATTTTGCTGCAAATCTAAATTTTGCATCAAAAACATCTTTATTATCCAAAAGAAAGGAACATCACCAGGAACAGATATTCTGAGTTGAACTTTGTCAACTATATGTTGTTATATCTGGTAAATTATCCTATTTTGATCAATTTCATCTACGTATAAATATGTCTTTTTTGTGTGACTGCCATAGTGGAACTCGTACATATTTGGGCTGAATTTTTCACAATAATAATCGCAATAAATATGTAGGCGCGAAAGTAATATATCAACAAGGCAAAACTTCGTTCTTTTTTCATTACCTTTGTCTAAATATTATTCTTGACTTAAGATTTTCAAAAAATCAGAATTAATTTCAAAATAATGACAGAGAATGTTCGAGGTTAAAAGTTCAAACAATTTTTTATCTAAATCATAGACCAACAAAATTGAGAACGTACAATAAGCTTATATAAAAAGAGAACAGAAAGGTCTTCAAAGATGGATGATCTTCATTAAAAAAATGTTTCACTTTGAGGAGCTTAATTCAATCTGTTCATTTAGAGTAGAAGAAATACCATTTCTATTGTTTGAATAGTAGAAGCAACAAAAGGAAATGATCCTTGACAACTTTAGAATGCTTTTGGCTGAAAATGAGCATACGTTCTCCTCAATTCTGGTGTGTAATGCCTTTTGCTTCAACACTTAGACCTCATAAAGAATGCAGTCACAACTTCAATACAACATTGAACAAATTGGAATATGTCAATCACCAAGTATATCTAATCTGGTTCACTAGCAAATTGTTTGGTCTTTTCTAATTTAAAGAATAAGTCTTACTAATTTTGTTATGTCCAGGTAAGAAGATATCTATTATCTCAAGTAATAATTTATTGATTTTTACAGACATGAAAGCTTTATGTATATATACATATCAAATGTAAAATTAAACTTGGACAGGAGTTAAAACTTGCTATACGACCATTTTGTTACCTCAAAAATAATATACTGGTTTTCAGTTTATTTTTATATAGTTACAATAATTCTTAATTCTCAAACAAATTCTCAAAAAATTCTAAGAGGCAACTTCATAGCAATCACTCAAGATAAATACACAATACATATACTTGAACAAAGATAGTGATTTCTGCCATTTATATTTTCTACTCCATATTTATGAAGTCAGAATTCCTTCTGTGCTCTTCCTCAATCAATTCATTTAATAATACAAAAAAACAAAAGTAAATATAGAAAATTACACCATCTCAGTCTCATCCACAAACACAAATGACAGAAGCTCCAAATTTATATATCTAATAATAATAATATAAAATTATGGAGCTAAAAAACAAACTTGGACCAAAGGCTATTCAAATTCTACTGTCAAATGTAACAACTTCTTTTTCTGACATACATCATTAAATTTTACTATCAAATGCAATAATTTTTTCTCTTTTTTGGCACAATCTCATTGGCTGCCAAAACCATCAATTTTAAAGAAGACACCTATACTTTTATATAGTATAACGTGTCTACTTTGTATTATATATATATATATATATATATATATATATATACACACACACACACACACACACACACACACACACACA